ACACTCAAAATGTGCTTATAATTATTGTTAGTATTCCACTGACCAAATAGAGGCACTCAGGCATGAACTCCAACTCCCTATCCTATTTTTATGCATCTAAACTCTACCCACTCCAGTTTGTTCCTTCTTGTAGTCCCCTGCCCCTGCTTACTACCTGCCTCTCACTCCTTTCATTTCTGATTCCCAGTACACACCAAGCATTCAGTCATCTTTGCATATGTTCTTACTACTTCCAAAATGCCCCTACCTCCACTTATTCCCAAATTTACACTCATCCCTCAAGACCAAACTTAAATGTGCTGTCTCTGTGCAATCTTCCCACCTTCCCTCAGGCCCCACCAGACCTTCAGGGCTGCTTCACCTTCTCTGCACCCCCCATGCCATGTTCACAGGCCCATTATCACAGTTATCATAGGACATTGTAACTATTGCTCTGTCGCTCTCCTCACCAGGCTGTAAGCTATTTAAAAGCAAGAACTGGGTCTCTTTATCTCTAGAACCTAACGTAGTGACTGGGGAAGTCATAGCTCAATAAATATCCATTGAATGAACAAGCAAATGCTACTGGTGCCTTCCTTCATAGGGGAAATGATTTATTCATTTACTAAATACTAAATGATATAGTAAAGCTCCAACAGACAAATTCCAAGCCATTTTACTCTGTGAGATTAATCAATTGGTCTTAGAAGGTTGAAAATGTGCTGTTTCTCAAAGACTCTCAGTAGCCTCAGTTGCTTTACCTGTTTATCCTCAAAGAGTATGTTTGGCAGTTTGCATAGAGAAGGGTGCATGATAAGAAGTTTGGATTGTCAGGTTTAAATAAATTTGGGGTTTATAAGAACATATGTAAGTTAATATTTATGAAGCAATATATCAGTTATGAAATCAGATAACATATATCAAGAATATGTTATGCCCTTCGGAGAGTCAAAGAGTAGGACTTTAATACATTTGACTCACTCAAGGAACACAGAAGGTTGGAAACATCAGAATGTATGAGTGACTGAATAAAGGTCTAGGTAGGACCCCAAAGAATACAGGGTTTCATCAATTCATGAAATGTTTACCAGGGGGTTGGCATTACATGGATTCTTTTCTTTTCAGATTCAGTATGAACAGAGACTAGAGGAGCAGGAGCAGCTACTTTCCTACAAATTGAAGGAAGCACCCCAGAACCAACGTGACAGCTCCTCCAGGGTTAAAACATTAGAGAAGGAACTCAACGACATTAAGGAAGGCCATCAGATCACTGTAAGAAACCTTGAAGCTGAAATAGACATTCTTAAACATCAGAATGCCGAATTAGAACTCAAGAAAAATAATAAAGATGACAAAGATTTTCAGTCTATAGAATTCCAGGTGGAACAGGCACATGCTAAAGCTAAACTGGTAAGACTCAATGAAGAACTGGCTGCAAAAAAGAGAGAAATACAAGACCTTTCAAAAACTGTGGAAAGGCTTCAGAAGGAAAGAAGAATGATGCTGTCTAATCAGAACTCTAAGGGCAGAGAGGATATGTCTGCCAAAAAGGCAAAGAAAGATGTTTTGCACCCAAGTAAAGTAAATGCTAACTCATACCCTGGAACCCTGGACAGCAAGCTTTACCAACCACATACTTTTACTGATTCTCATATTTCAGAGGTTTTACAAGAAAACTACAGATTGAAAAATGAGCTAGAGGGATTAATTTTGGAGAGGGATGAGTTGAAGATGAAATCTGAAGCAGCAGTGAACCAATTTGAAAACTCCATGAAAAGGTAAAATGTTGTATTATTATTTATAAATATATGGGGAAATAAAAAGATAAAAATTATAAGATGTATTTCCTCCAGATAATTAGTTTGACCCTGAACTGAATTCATAAGTGAATTTTAAGAAATTATGGCACATTGCTGAGCATAGATCTGTTTCAGAGTAGGGTCCTCTATTTGCAAGCGTCCCAAATTCTGATGAACCTGAACCTCTAAGTGAAACCAAACCAGGTCCTCAAGCTCACCATTCTTGTCTTTCTGCATGTACCCAAATCGTTCTAATAAGCTGATTCACTGGGCCCTTTTTGCAAAGGAATGTCATCATTTGTAGTTACTGTAGGCAGATTGCTGTTAGAAAACTATTATTAAAACTCTTCCAAGAAGGAAAGGTCCTCTTTCAAAAATAACTCTTCAAACTGACCTTGTGATCACATCCATTCGTGCCTTGAGGAACTTTTATACTCATCCCTTTCCTCCTCAGGATCTCCAACTAGTATTACTATCCACTGTCTCTTTCCTCTGAGTCTTGACATCCTCAGATCTTTTTTTCACCTGATCAAACCAAGTTCCAATCTTCTTTCTGTCTTAGAGTGCCACTTTTTCACAGGAAACCTCTTCTTTTATTTCCATCTCGCTTCCCCTTAAATATGACTCTCATCATCACCACTTTGAAACCTGATCTCTTAATAAGGACCCTTCCCAGTCCCGTGGCATTTTCTCCCTCCTCATTCTCCTTGACAATGTTGACCACACTGGCTTTCCTGAAATGGTTTCCTCCCTTAACCTCCATGACGTGGCAGCTCTGACTAAAACTCCTTTTGTTTCTTTTGCTGACTTCTGATTTCTCCTCCTTCTCACTCTCCAAAAATCTGGCTCTCTACCAGTGTTCGTTTCTTAGCTTCCTGTTTATTCTCTGTTCTTTCCCCATTGCTAAACTCATCCATTCTTATAGCTTCTATGAACCATGACTCCTAGGTTTACTTTTAAAGGCTTGTTCTCTTCCCAGAGTTCAGAAGTTAAACCTTCAACTATTTATTGGATTACCTCTCTTGGAATCAACAATACCTCAAGTTCTCTCTCTTTTTCACCCGTAAACTAGTTTCCCTCACCAAGGTCCCCAGCCCTGTCTATGACCTCATGTATTTCAGTTGCCAGGCCCAGCTTTATACCTCCTTTATTCCTTGGGTTCACAGCCTATAGGGTGCTTCCTTATAAATATTTCTCATTTTGCTTTTTTCCTTACTATATATATAATAAGTCATTGCAGCCTGCCTACCTGGTGTACCATAGTTTTCCCACTCCAATCTCCCTTTTGTTTCTACTTCCCCCAGTCATCTTGTATAAAAACCATTAATATTCTTTAAATACTCCTGTATCTGAGTCACTCTGCCTTCCAGTAACTCGCAACTTCCTTAAATATCAAGACTGAATTTCTCTGCCTGGCATCTCAAGTCCCATCACCATTCTAATACTAGTCTACATTACCTAATCTCCCAAATTTCTTCATACCTTTGGCTCATTTGTGTTTTAAATCCTACCTCCTCCACAAAGCATTTCTTGAAGCTTCCCAGGAAAGTGCCTGCTCCTATCCCCAACTCCTACAGAATTTAATATATGTACCAAGAAAGCTGTAATCATAAACAGCCTTATAGGTCCTTGAGAACTGATATAAGATTATGCTGCTTTTGTATCCTAACTGCAACCTGGTATGGGAGCAGAATGAGTGTGGAAGCACCCAACAAATGCTAATTGATTAATTGGCAGCCATGGCAGTGATTGGAACTTTGTTTCTTTAGTTCTGAATATGACAGTTGTATGAAGCTAATTGGGGAGAATCACGTTTTTTTCCTAGAAATAATTTAAAGTTCAAGTTTGTCCTATAATTATATTTTCCTATATATAATTTAAAATTATCTAGTATTGTCAGTCTGTTTCTCCGATAGCTCTAGGCCTGAGAAGTAAACTTTCCCATTCCCAGATTTAGGCTGTTTTTTACTATAATTCAGATATGTCATGGGTGCTTTAGGTTTTTATGCTTTTCCTAGGACCCTAATCACACTGTTTCCATGGAGAAAATTTATATAGTGAAATAAGCAACTGACAAATTTGTGTATTGTTTGGGATATGCCATATTAATATGTATCAACAGTGATTTATGAAAATATCTTCTTTGAATAAAATCCTGTCATTTTTGAATAGTCCTTCCAATAAGAGAGAAATACCTATCTGTAGGAAATGTATCAAATCTTTATTCATAACTTTACCATTTACTAAACTGTCTCTGAATTCATAAATTTTATCTCAGAGACAAATGAATAGTCTTTCACACTTAGAATCCAAATTAATTAGTTACAGATTACCCTTATGTCCTGAGAATCACTGTAAAGATCATTTTATTCTCACAACATGCAACTAGCCCTGGAGTCATATGCATGGATTAATATAGGGATGAATGCTGCCTAGACACAAAGCATTGATGGTTCTAAAGGGAGCGGCTATGATTACCCAGATAAGAATCTGAGCAAAAAAGTCTCAGTTTATCTTCAAAGATAAAATGTCAAGCACTATGCTTTAGATTCAAACAGATATTCTGGAACCTTAGATTCCCTCAGAAAGTATAGCCAAAGGCTAGAGATAGAGTGGAAGGCCTGGACCTTGAAGTCCATCTCTGCTGGGCTTGAACCCCAGCTTTACAACTTACTGATGTGGGACCCTGGATGTATTAATATCACTCTTTTGTCAACTCAGGTTCACCCATATAAAATTCAGTAAATAATAGCTCATGGATTCATTGTGAGAACTCACAGGCAATAATGTATAAAGCACGTAACATGATGCAGTTAATATCGATGTCCTCTCTCCATTTGCATCTTTGATGTCCAGGCTTTTTACACTGTTTTTGTGCTAACTCTTAATTAGAGGTTGAAGAGCCACTTTTATATGTGGTTTTCTTTCATTTGCTCTGTAGGGTCAAGGAAGATAGTGCGGCACACATTGCATCCCTCAAAGCATTTCATCAGAGAGAAGTAGAGAAACTCCTTTGCCAAAATGCAGTAGAAAATTCTTCTTCCAAAATAGCTGAACTGAATCGTAAAATAGCAACTCAAGAGGTAGATAACAAATCTGTTTTGATCTTTGATTTTAATGAGTTTTTTTTTTTCAGGACTTTTAACTGAACATTAATTTGGAAATGTTTTTAACGTTTTCATGTTGGTGATAGAAATGGGAAATTATTGACTTGGTTTTTTTTTAATAGAAGGTACCATTACCATATATTTAACTTTTCCACTTTAAAACTATACCATGTAAATAAGTGTTTTTACAGTTTTTCCCTACACTTCTGAAATCTTCCCCTAAATCCGTTATAAAAGATGTCTGAAGTATATATCTAATGTGATTAGGACTTTCATACTCATCTCCTTTTACCCCAAGTCCCAACTGACAAGTAATTATCCCCAGGCATTCTTCCTGCCAATTACTTTTCATTCATTGAAAAAATAATGATTCGGGTCTATAGACAGGCACTAGAAATAAAATAATGAGCCAAGATACATAGCTCTAGCCCTTATGAAGCATAGTCTTCTAAGAATTATGATGGAGAATGCTGACAGCTCATCAGCATTTCCTCAAATGTGTCTTCCTTCTTGAATAATAGGTATATCCTACTTGGAGTATCTGGTCATCTACTATGTGGCCTGTCTTCTGTGGTGTTAGTAGGTTGAAAAAACCGCATTAAAATAGAACTTTTATCTGCAACTTATTTTCAAATGGTATATCCAAGAAAAAAAAAGTGCCACAATGTTAGCAGTTGATGAATCAAGTTGAAGAATATATGGATGTTTATTGTGCTCTTCATCTTTTCTGTAGGTTTTAATTTTAAAAAAGCTTGGGGGAAAAAACTTCAAGAAGTAATTATCTCACCACCATCTCTCCCACCTATAATTACTTAATACCATCTTAATTAAAAACAAATCCTTCAATGCTTGAGCTGATAGATACCCCATTTACCCTGATTTGATTATTATGCATTGTATGCCTGTATCAAAACATCACATGTACCCCATAAATATATAAAACTATTATATATCCATACTATTTTTAAAAAATCCCTCAGTTGAGGAAGTTTGAATATACACTATTAGATACTAAGAAATTATAATTTTGTGTGCAAAATGGTATTGTGGTTTTGTGAGAAATGCCCTTATAAAGATACGCATATTGAAATATTTAAGGGATAAAATATAATGAACTATTACAATTTCAAATTGCTCAGAAAAATGTTAATACTTTAATGAAAAATATTCAAAGTGCTTTTCAAAAGTAACAACTCATACAGCTTTACAGATAATCTGTCTAGCTTTTTCTCTCATAGGAATAGGGTGTCAGAGGGCAGTTGTAAGCATTTGTATCAAGTGATTTTGTAATAAGGAATAGTCTAGGAGAGGTGGAGAAAGTAGTGTCATAATTTTATTTTCCCAGAGTTATAAATGCAATACTGTAAAATTGGGTTAAATGGAAGTCAGTATAGTCTGATCTTTAAAACAGTAGATGTACACCATTAGAGATGAATTTTCCCCAAGTTCTCACAGTTTCTTGATGGAAATATCTGCTTATGTATTTCAATTTCTTTGTCTAAAACTATGAGACTGACATTTCACAGACATTAGGAGGCTCGTGTTATAAAGATAGTATTATCTACTTTTTCTCAAATGCTCAGACTTTATAGAGGTTTATCTTAAAAGGAATTTTCCAGTCTTGAGTCGACTTCCTTATATTTTCCAAATAGTGTTCTAGGAGGAGCTTTACTAATTCAGTGCTTCTGACAATTTCCCAGGTACTTATAAAACATTTCCAAAGTCAAGTTAATGAGCTGCAACGTAAACAAGCATCTCTTGAACTTTCTGAAGTTCGAGAAGAAATCCTACAAAAACAGGTAAGAAATAACCAAAATATTGTGCTAAAATAAGCTTTCTTAAGCATTTCAATCATATTCATATGTCTGTATAAATTTAACTTAAATGTACATAATCTGAAAGTATTGATCACATCATGAAAATACTAGTAACTTGCTTACGTAAAGTCTGCTTTCACCAGATGAAGTTAAATATTAAGTCATTAAGTTATTTATATGTTTTATTTGCTGTTGAGATTTTGTAGGCAGTGGGGAAAATGGGATGGGAAATGTTTGATTTTTGGGTTTTTGTTTTTTTTTTCTGAGATAATATTGAATAGTTAAGGCCATTTCTGTGTTAAGTACTGTCAGGGAAGAAAAATATTTTCCTCAACCCTTAGGAGTTCTTAGTTGGGTTCAACCTCGTACCAAATAAGAGAAAAACAAGTTTATTAACATATGTAGCATACAACACAGGAGAAATGTCAACACAGAGTAACTCAAAAGTGGTACCTTAGAACTTTCTGAGTGTGTAGCTATGGAGAGATTTAGGTTAGAGGTCACAAGATAAGAGATTGGCAAAGGGAGAGAAAAACATACATGGAACAAGTAGAAAAGAACAAATTTAAGTACATTGTTCCATATCTTATTGAATCCTTGCCTTAGTCCTGAGAATAAGTTGGTTCGGTTAAATAGTTGTCTCATTTCAGGACTTGTTGGAGGTGGGCTCCCATCAAAGTTAGGCCTCTATATGGTGATTTAACAAGCATTTCTATAGAAACAAAAGAACAACAAAGGCTAATGGTTGGAGTAGTCTATACGCTAGTTTCTGAGTCTGGAGGGCAGCCAGTCAAGATTTCTAGATGTTGGGCTCAAAGCATCTTTTGCAGTTTGGCCCAAATTGCAACAGGCGCGAAGGTTGTCCATACATGAGCTGTTGTGGTGATTCTCTACAGTTTGTATCAAGTCATTCAGCTTCAGAGCTTGTTAGGGTTTCAGGAAAAGGGCAGTTTGAATTTTTAGTGATTGCAAGCCAGAAGGGTGGCAGAAAAATTGAAAATACTAGTTTGGAGAATTATAGCCAGATATTGGAAGAAACTAGAATAATGTCAGATTACAGGTAAATAACAAAACCTCAGAGATAATGAACAGAGCTAGAAATGATATCCACAAAGATGTGTTATAGTTTTCTACTGAGAGTTTTTTTCTCTATAGTCACTCCCATTTCTATCAAAGATAATCACAATAAGATCAATTTGTTTGCAGAACTAAGTCTAGCCTCATTAATTTTATGACTTGCTTATTTACGTAAATACAACAAGAATAGTGATTGATTGTATGGGCCCTTTTGTAAAGTCTGCTTTACTGGAACTTTTAATAAGGAATCTCAGATTGGACCTTTAAAAGCCTCTCTAGACTAGGAAGACAAGGCAACAACTCGGTATCAGATTTTGCCTGCAATACCTATGGATTCAGGTGAATTTCTCTCTTTTCCAAAGGTCCACAAAATATACTGAGGTTCTTGGGCTTGCCAGGCAGCGACGTTCCTTACTAACCTATAAGGGAACCAGGTATATGAGGTACCAAGACAGTTTTTTCCCAAGAGGCTTTATTGGCCTCATAAAGTCAACATTAGTTTCTCAAATCTGTCTAGTCATATCTGATTCTGGGCACATTCTCAAGTATTACATTCTAGTCAAAGCCTTCTTAATATAACCAGTGTTTCCAGTTGTGTCCTGTTACAAAGAGAACAGATTCTTATTGACATTATGCAAATAACTATATTGGTATGAAAATAAGAATACTCACTAAGTTTCTGGAAGGGTAAGTAGTCAGAAGAAGTTAAATGTTTCAATTCTGTTTACAAAAATATAATTTACCAAATTGCTGAAAGATGATGTAGATTAAAAGAAAAAGTTTCCTTAATAATGAACTAGCAATGTTTCAAACAAAAAGGCCATAAGGATTTTTCAATTTATTCAGTCCCATGTAATTCTTATTCTGCTTGATGTTGGATTAGCAGTTTTATGAGCCAATCAGTTTCTTCATTAGAGTTTTGGAAATTCTTACCCAGCCCAATGGTATGATCTTACCAGAAACCTGTACTTGTCAGGAGTTCTTTCCATAAATCTCCTTGAAGATGATATAGTTGCTTGCAAAAGCTTTCAGGAAAGTACCAGAGCAAAACAATTAACTATCTATGGAAGACAAAAGATTTAAAAATAGCCATGACTAAACATCAGAGTTCATTATAATGCAATTGACATGGAAATTTGTTTATTTCTATAATATATAACATTTTAAGATAACTGGAATTATTACTGATACCATACAAAGACATACCAGATTTCTAAGAATTTTCTACAACTTCTGGAACATTTAATAACATATCCATACAAATATACCTCAAAGAAGATTAAACATCTTTATTTGACAATGATTCCCATACAATTTAACATATCAAATAAGCCTAATTAGTTAAACATCTTTTTTTTTTTAAGGAGAGAGAACAGATTCTTTTGAGATATTCCAAGGGCCCTCTGGAACATCCCAAAGTTAGTATGAGGTGAAAAGAACTTAATTTAGAATTTGATTTTGGGAAGTTGTCAAAAATGTCAAAAAGTTTAAAACATTCAATTAAGTAGATTCACAGGTCACTGTGAAACAATAGTTATCTGAAGTGACAATTAAAAGATTCTAAGGGCAAATACAGAAAGTTACATAGTGAGAAGATTCAATTTTCCTAAGTAATCAAAGACCTGATAGACCACATAAAACACAGGAAATTATTTTGGTAAAACACAAAATCTTTGTTTTCTAAGCAGATTACTTAAAGAAAATCTTTCATAATCTCTTATCAAGAGCAGACCCAGTTCTCCAAGAAAGCTTTGTTGTTTTAACAGAGAAAACCAGGTTCTAGTTTTGTATTACTGTAATTTCGATATGAAGGCTCATTTTTAAAAACGCTTTGATAAATTTATGCAATTTTAGCCAGCTTGGGTACCCAAGATAAGCATTCAGTGAATATCTCTTATTCAACTTAGCAAAACCCTAAGGATGTAAGTTACCAAAGAGATTTGGGAAACTTTTTTTGCAAACATATAAAACATAAATTTATAAACTTTTATCTCACTAATAGGTACTTAATTCACTTGTTCTTAATTTTTCTTAGATTGACATGAAAATTTCATGAGCCATTAAACAGCCACCATCTTATTTTCCTATTAACTATTTTTACAGCATGTATATGTTAGGTAGTATCATGAAAGCAAGAACCTAAAAGTTAAATATATGTTTTTCTTTTCTTTTACTACTATGCTTTATATACATAGAATAATGGATACTGCACTTGTACTTGCACTTTTGATCTTAGGTTGAACTTCTAGTTGTATAATCAATCTTAAACATCTAATAGAAATAACAAACTTGACTAGTAAACCCAGGTAGAATAAAAGTTGTGTGTATGCATTATATTTAATTGTGACAACTCTAAAGGCATGCCTGTTTTATTAAACTATTCTTACATACCAAAGATTTACCTGAGTCACATGAACTTGAAAAGTATTTGGGCTAGTTTCTATACTTTTGGGTTTTAGGAATTCTTAATTTATGTAAGTGCTTCTTTTTCTTTAAGCCAATTAAATAGATCTCTTTCACAAATTACTTTTGGCAGTACCATCCAAAGGTAGAAAGTTGTACATAAACAGATGCAAACAGAGGTCCTGTAGCATGCATTTTAAAATTTTAGCCATCAGATAGGTACAATAACATAAAACTTACTAGTTTATAAAAACAGTTGGATGCAAATTATGGTTTTGTCAGATGGAATAACTTAAGGTTACCTGTTCAGATGGCTGACTTATCAATAATCTTACGGAGTCTGTGGACTAAATTTTGAGTAAAGCAGTTTGGGGTTTTGGGGTTTTTTTTTTTTTAAAGCCTCTTCTCCTTCCTCCCATTTTTTCTTTAGTCTCAGATGGTTACAGTTGTTGTTTTAGTTAACTCCTTTGATGTTTGCATTTCAAAGATGTGGTAAGATTTACATGTCCATGGGACTGAGAAAGGATGTAAGTTTTCTCCAAGGAGTTTTAGGGCACATTTGCCTATTATGACAGATGTAGGGTTTTAAGTTTTTCTTTTCCTAAAGTATAGGACAGCTTAAGCAATTTTTTGCAGTGGGAGCCCAAATATGGAAAGGCCTGGAGCTGATGGAGTTCGATTATAGAGCCCTGGGAAGTAGAAGTTGTAAGGTACAGCAAAGCTGGCCTGGCTGTGAGTTCCCTGAGTCAATTTATTTCCTGGTTGTCAGCATTTACAAAAGTAACCTGTATACCCTGGGCCTGGAGATCAGGCTGGAGTGCTTTTTGTAAATCTTGCTGGGAAAGGGAAGTTAAAGTAAGCAGCGGGGCATGTAAAGGATTTCCTGGAGAAACTGAAAGACTTTTAGGACTTAAGGAATTTGCTCAAATGTTGAGACTGGATTTTTGGAAGGGAGTTTAAGCCAGGGGCCCAAAGATCCAAAAGATTTTCTGGAGGGTCAGAGTCAGGGAGTTGGAGGTAAAGAAGACTATAGCTGGGTGAGGAAAAGTTTACAGCAGATACGGATTTTAACTTTGGTCTTCGTTTGGGTGGTCTTTTTTTTTTAATCTTACTAAGAGAGTCTCTAAGATTAGCCTTGACACTCTTTTTGCGTCCTCTTTTAAGTCTTATCTTACCGTAAGTCCCAGTAGGACATTTGCTTGGGATAAGAGCTCTTTAAAAAAAATCCTTTTTAGATATAAAAGTCCAAATCTTTGAAGATTTACTCATTTTAATGTGACTCTAGACCAATAAGCCTTTTGTTGCTTAAGCATGGAAGCACAAGGCTTTCTCACAAAGGCTACAAAAGATGAAGTCCCCCTCAAGATCCAAAGTTTCTCCCAAAGATGGCCTAAGAAAGCAGAGACCTTCATTGCTATTCAGGCAGTAAGAATAGTGTTTATGAAAATGGTCTTTCAGATCTCCCACGGAACATGAAACACCTCCAGTCACAAACCTGCTAATCTGCGACACCAGGCATGTACTACCAGGATGGACTTACCCAGCACTAACTAAGCAATGAAGTTTGAGATGCCAAAGTCCCCTTATTAAGACATCTCCCCTGAGAGCTGGCACAGTCAGACAAAGGGAATACTGCTTGTCACTTGGTCCCCACCCTATTCAACTAGCCACCTTATGCAAGTTGACACTTGTGCCTTCCAGCTGGCAGAGACCAGAGATTGTTCTCACTGGGTCCCAAAAGCCAAGTGCTCAGGACATAAGATGAAAGAAGAACCTCATCTTTTTTTTTCTTATTGGGCACCCACAGCAAAGTTTGTTTAAACATACATGTCTGATGAGAACTGAAGTCACCAGTCTGTGAGGCTGGCTGGAACCACAGCCTTATAAGACCTACATCTTTTCTACCCTGTGATTCTCTGTCTTATGACAAATGATGCAAAAGACAAGGGAAAACAATGACTATCTCTGGGAAGCTAAAGATCAATAACCAAGAAGCACCCAAAACCAAATCTGCAAGTCACAATTCAAAGAATTTTTTCCAAATTTTTATCTGCTGCCAATCTGAATTTGGAAAGCAAAGGACAAGGAAAAATTTTACTTTCCTCTCTTGACTGGATACTACAAGTGGGTATCTAAGAGAGTTGATTTGGGTAAGAATTCTTACCTTTTACCAGCTTCTATCAGTTTTCCTAGGATCCCATCTTCAGGCTCTGGAGTGAGTGGGAGGTCCCAGAAAGTCCCATCTGGGTTGCCAGAAACTGTTGAGAAGGAAAACAAATTTTTTTTCTCAACTCTCATGAGTTCTTATTTGAGATGGACTGCTATAACAAAAGACAGATTAATGAGAAAAACAAGTATATTAACCCATGCTGCACATATCACCCAGGAGAAACGTCGATGCAGAGTAACTCAAAGCAGAGGCTTAGAACTCTGGCTTACATAGCATCTTCAACAAAGAACGATAAATTTGTAGATAAATGACAGGACAAAGGAAGGCAGTTTTAGGCTTCAAAAGTGGGAAACTGGGTAGGTAACTATCTGAGAGGAAACTAACGAATAAGGTTTGTTTGCAGATTGCTCCGGTACCATCTCTGGGCTGATAAAAGTCTAGAGTTGTCTCCAGTAAAGGATAATTTACATCCTGCCTTTAGGTAGGAAACAGGGAAGATAGAGCTTTTCCTCCATTTGCTGTTTCTTAACTGCCTTTAGCTCAAAAATAATTTTTATGTCAAGGAAGCATATTTTGGGGCAAAATATTCCTATTTCCCTTAGTATTACTACTACTTAATTTGATTATTAAGAAACAGGGCCAGGTGCAGTGGCTCACACTCGTAATCCTAGCACTCTGGGAGACTGAAGCAGGAGGCTAGCTGGAGGTCAGGAGTTCAAGACCAGCCTGAGCAAGACCAAGACCCCGTCTCTACAAAAAATAGAAAAATTAGCCAGGTATGGTAGCTGCACACCTGTAGTCCCAGCTACGCAGGAGGCTGAGGCAGGAGGATCACTTGAGCCCAAGAGTTTGAGGTTGCTGTGAGCTATGCTGATGCCACTGCACTCTAGCCCAGGCAACAGGCAAGACCCTGTCTCAAAAAAGAAATGAGTAGTACAACCATGACAGTTATGCTAGATCACCAAAAACAATATCATTACAGGAGGTAGATCTTTCTGGAAACCCACCATTATTTCTAGAACCCTTTTGATTCTAGAAAGTATGAAAAACCAGTACAGCTCACCTTATTTATTTCCCTTCTCCCAGAAATCACAGTCCTACAATCCTGTTACCCAGTGTCCGAAAATAGTTTTTTCATATATTTTTGTCTTGTTCTCTAATTGTTTACAGAATGAAGGGTAAATCCATCCCTTTTATTCCACATGGCCACAAGTGAAAGCACGTTATGCATTTTAAATCAAGATGAATTCTATTACATTTTTTGATTGCTTGTTTTTAAAATAATTTTTTAGAGCCATAAGAAAACTGAGTAATGATTTAGAAGTTTTCAACATAGTTAAAACAAATACCCTCAACATCATTAGAAAGTAAACCATCTCCCACTTAGCTGGTTAATCATGGAAATCTGAAAGGATTTTTCTGTACTCTGCATTTTGTTCTATGCCTTCGTTATCTTAAATGTTTTCAAACCATAGCTCTTTAAAATCTTATCTGCTGCAATGGGGTGAAAATCTTCTTAAGCATCTAGTTAAGTTTTATTAAGTTGACGCTAACTCAGGCATGTATTCCTCAAATCTTGTCTTTTAGTACTCTAATGAAGTTAATCTTTCATGTTTTAGCATTCATCATAGGTTTTCAGTGTTATTATTCCCACTTCTATTAATAGTTGATTGCAAAAAATCTTTGTTTCCTAAACACCCTGAAGTTGTACAGGACTTAAATCTTTATTCATATTCCTTAGAGACAGCTGAGAGGGTTGCTGCTATTATTGCTTATTATTTTCATGTTTTGCAGTTGGTATATACATTTTACTGGTCACAGATTTTTCATTAATGGGGTTTTATTTTGTTTTCAATCTGTATAAATGTTTTATAAAAGTGTGAGAAACCACTTAAGGCTGACCTATAACATAAGCCCAGGGACTATTGTGGCCCAATCATAAAAATTACCAAAATTTTTATTGTAACTTATCTCAAATACTCTATAACTAGCTGCTGTTATTTTATAAGAGAATAGGGGAATGAACATGGGGTTTATGATCTAGGTTTAAATTCTTGGCTTGCCACTGTAAGGTTAACTGGCAGGATTTAAGTAAACATTTAGAGTCACGAAATGACATAGGCCACAGCCTAAGCCTCCCAATCAATTTTAATTATATTTTTCAAGGTGCTTTTAGGGAGATACAAACAAAAGGAAATTTTCTCTTAGTCTACAACCATATTTCTAAATTTATGCAATTTACATTAAATGTTTATATTTAATCATTGAAAGATGAATACATTAATTAATTCATGAGTAATTGTTAAACATCTACTCTCTTTTGTGCACAGCTCTAGGTGCTAGAAATACTGAGAAGTAGCAGACAAAATTCCTTGCTTTTGTGGAGCTTACATTTTATTTGAGGGAGTCGGACAAGAAACAAATATAAGATTTAATAAATTAAATGAGGCAGCATCTGTAAAGTGTTTAGCATAGTGCCCAGCACATAATGATGCCACGACTCACTGCCACTTGTCCTTTAAGACTTGATTCAAACACAGCTGCCTTAGGAATCCCACGGCCCACCTCCTCAAGTCAGGTGTTCTCATTTATCATCTCACTGCTTCTCGGCCATCTCTCCAGAACACACCACATTAGAATTCTCCTTCACTTGACTACTACTTTTACGAGACCAGAACTTCCTAGCTGGTGTGCCAGGAACAGGTGGCTAGCGTATTACAAGATAGCAATGGCTAGAAATGTTGTATGATGACAAAAAGTTCAAAATCATTTCTCAGCCATTAAAAAAAGTTTATAGAAATTGAAATATTTGACCATTCTGTATATGAGGGATATTTTTATTATTATTATTGTTATTAGGTAATGGGTGTTTCCATATAAAACATGGTTGAATTTGTTAATTTTATCCATTTTCTTCATTTGCTTGTTTTTTGCCTTTTGATGTTAACAATTTAGCAAACTCTGATTCCTGATGGAATTTCTTTTCATTTATATGGTATAAAGAAAATGCAATTAATTTTTTCACCAAACCCAATACAAAGGTCCCTCAGATCCCCTCCAAAAGATACATATTAACTAAACTCTATTTTTTTAAATCCTTAATCACCTTATTAAATACCTTGTAGCAAATCTGAGTGCATTAAAGAAAGTGCCCAACTTTATTTTAATGAACCCCATAACCAGACTGCTGGCCTGCATGGGAGGGAACAGGTAAGTGGTTCATTCATTTGGAACCCCTAGAATGTGAGGTCAACCCAGAGCTAGTATGCATCATTACTTAGCACTGAAAGCTGTTAATTACTCTAACAATCCAAGATGCCTCTAATCTAGAGAAATTTTATACAGATAATCTTGATTTTTAGGATTAACTCTTAAATAATTATTTCCTTGTGATTATAGTTTTTCATTCACTTCATACTTCAATTTTAGATTACAAAACTATTAGAAGAATTGAAAAAAGCCAAGGAAAACCATACTCCAGAGATGAAACATTTCATGGGCCTAGAAAAGAAAATTGAACATATGGAAATGAGACATGAGCAAAGAGAACAGGAACTTAAACAGGTACAGTAGTAAATCACATTTATATATTTGTATAATTTAACTTCTAAGTGCCTTTAATTTGCTATAGTTTTGTCATCCCTAACAAAAGTTACTTCTTAAAGTGTTTCAGTTGTATTTTGATCTTGTTAAAAATAAATTTATAGCTTTTAAGAGAAAATAAGTCTTTAAATCTCAAATACTTGAAGATTGGTTACCCTTAGATCTAGAAAAGATGAAGAAATTTTTGTCATATTCTTTATTATTGACGGGTACCTAAAAAGTTATACATCTTACTCTGGTAAGAGAGCTTTGGGAATAATGTTTCATATTTTAAGTCATTTCAATATGCATTTATAAGAAATTTATATTAAAATGTCATCTTATACCTAGCACTAATATTATACTTAATTACAAACAGATTAATTAATACAAATTAAAAAGCACATGTAAGGACATCATGTGCTTTTAGGCACTTGCCTTGGTGCTGAAGCTTGGGCTGCTGTAACAAAATATAGATTGGGTGGCTAAAACAACAGAAGTTTTCTCATAATTCTGGAGGCCAGAAGTCCAAGATCAAAAGTTCTGGTCAATTTGATTTCTGGCGAGGGCTTTCTTCCTGGCTTGCAGATGGCCACGTTCTAATTCTCACACAGCCTTTCCTCAGTGCCTGTGCTTAGAGCAGGGGGAGCGAGGGGTGAGAGATCTCTCTGGTTATCTCTTCTTAGGAAGATACTAATCCTATCAGATCAGGGCTCCACCCTTATGCCCTCATGACCTCATTTAGCCTTCATTATTTCCTTACTCCACATACAGCCATACCAAGGGTTAGGGCTTCAACATATGAATGGGGGGTGGGGGGTCCACAAACATTCAGTCCATAACAAACAGTTGAATTTATATACTCTCTAAAGACAGAAAATACTACAGACATGTGGACCTTTATGGTTGCCCCGAGTTCCCCAAAGAAGCCCCAGGTTTCCTACTCAGTATTGTCGCACTTTAGCTCTTTGAGATTAAATGTTCTTTACCCCCACTACCAACTGTAACAGCATTGTGGAATTTTTATGTCTGCAGATAATACAGCAAACACAACAAGTAGTAGAAACCGAGCAAAACAAAGAAATTGAGAAATGGAAAAGACTCGCACAGTTAAAGAATCGCGAGGTGGACAAGTTTCGCACAGAATTAGACTCAATATTAGATGTTCTACGAGAGCTGCACCGGCAGTGGGTGGTTGTGCCAGTTGCTTTTGCAGATGAACTGAATGCACCAGAGTACTAGAAACTCGGATTTCATATGATGTCATCGAAAGGCCTGAAGATGGGATTGTGCTACTGTGAAAATAACAGTTTTTGAAAAACAAGGTGTTCAGTATGTTGCCGGAAAGCAAACACTAACATTTCAAAATAAACCAACAGTTCCTTAAACAATAAGGGAAAAAGGCCTCATGGTATATTTTACTGAAAATCATCAACCAGTCACATTTTAAATGATTTATGGACAGGTTCCTTTGTGTGAGATGATTATAACTAGTAAGATTTACCGTATAAGGTCTCGCTTTATGCTAGAAGTAGAAAGAAAATTGCACATACTCTGCCACCTTATGTATTGACCAAGTGTGTATTCTTAATCTGCTTTGTGACAAACAGCTTCTCCTTCTCGTGGAAGTGGTAGAGGAATGTGAGCACAGTGCTGTGGACAGTGGCGCTGTCAGTGAGGAGCGCTTCCTCAATAATTTGGGTGAAAATTGTAACTTCCTGTACAAGTAAACAGTGAATTCTCCTCTGTTCGCCCAGTTTTCCACTCCTGCCTCTAGGTGGCTCATTTTTGCAACTAAGATGAAAAATACATTTTACAAGTAATGGGGGAATTTGGTTTATCCAGTTTTAATCTTTTAAACTGTATCTCTTAAATCCCAATCCTACTTTTTTGTAACTTTAAAATTACACAGAATATAATAACCTTTTTACTTGTTTTATTTAAAAAGTAATATTAGGTCCATTAGAAAAAATTATAAATATGCATAAAAGTAGCTAGATTATTTTATTCAGTTTTCTAATAGCTACATTTAAAAAGGTAAAGAACAATTGAAATGAATTTTAACATATTTATATATTTCTAATATACCTAAATATTAGTATCAATATAAAAACTGAGTTTTTGCATTTTTCATGCTAAGTCATCAAAATATATTTTACGTTTACAGCACATCACGATTTGGACCAGCCACATTCCAAGTGCTCTATAACCACATGCCAATAAAGTGCAATTCTAGAATAATAATTACAAAGTGAAACACTTTATAAAGGACAGGTGAACTAGATCTTTGTGAGATTATGGGCAGCAAATGTGAGATGTAGAAGTTGTTAAATGTAAGAAATGCAATTATTGTTTTGATGTCCAGCATTTTTAATTTACCCTTTCCTAAAGAGGGTAGTAAAAGCATTATAGTTTGCTGTTTTTTTACATGAAAGAAATTCTAAATTATATAAATTATTTTGGTTATTACTTGTGTGTTGTGTATTTTTTATGTGTGTTCATATATAGCTACACCCATGAGCCATTCATTCCAAGCACAAACATGGCTGGTTCTAAAACACAGGGAAGTACAAACATCAAATAATTACTTACAGAGAAGGTACATCCTATTTTGATGAGGATTGTGTATTTCTATTTTGGTATAAGGTGTGCACATGGCAGGTCTTCAGTTCTATTTACAGATTAGAGATCCAAAAGTATCATCAGAGCTATTTGTCAAAACTAAAAACCTCAGGAACCATCCCTCATTCCTAAGTCCTTCACCGTGAGGGGCCAGGATGAGAACACAGAATATGGACACATTCCTGCTATTTTGAATAGGAAGGTTTCTGTAAAGATTTAAGCTCCAGAAATGATGGATCGTTTTCCACTGTGATGGTTAATTTTAGGTGTCAACTTGGTTAAGTACCCAGACAGCTGGGTAAAGCATTATTTCCGGGTGTGTCTGTGAGGTTGGTTCCAGAAGAGATAGGCATTTGAATCAGTGAATATGGAAGATCTGCCCTCGCCCAACATGGGTAAGCACCATCTAAACAGCTGGGGGCCCAGACAGAGCAAAAAGGCAGAGGAAAGGTGAATGTACACTTTCTTCTGGAGCTGGGACCCCATCTTCTGCCCAGGGACATCAGAACTCCAGGTTCTCTGGCTTTCAGACTTCAGGACTTGTACCAGTGCCACCCCCACCCCAGTTTCTCAGGCCTTTGGCCTTGAACTGAGAGTTATAGCTCCCCTAGTTTTCAGGCCATTGGAATTGGACTGAGCTACACCACTGGCTTCCCTGGTTCTCCAGCTTGTAAACAGCATATCAAGGGACTTCTCAGCCTTCATAATTCCATGAGCCAATTCCCACAATATATCCCCTCTCATATATTTATAAATATACTCTATTTGTTTTGTTTCTCTAGAGAGCAATAGACCCACCAAGTTCATCTCCACCATAAACTCGTAAGATACCCATATCCACAGTACTTCCTTTCAGGAGCCTTATCAGGATAGATGGCTTACTGCTGACACCTGCTTTTTGTGCAGAGACACTGCTGATTTGATCTACTACTTGTGAGGACAGAGCATTCCATAACCAGCATCTACTCTTAACCCTAAGAAGTCCAGGTTTTAGCACTTGGATCCTATTCCACCTTGAAAAAATCCTAAACGTATTACTTGCTGTGGTTTGAATGTCCTCTTCAAAACTTATGTTGAAATTTAATCCCCAGGTTGGCAATATTGAGAGGTGGGAGCTTGAAGAGGTGATTATGTCATGAGGGCTCAGCCTCATGAATGAATTAATCCATTCATGAATTAATGGTTCATCATGGGAGTGGGACTGGTGGCTTTATAAGAAGCGGAAGAGACCAGAGCTAGCAAATTCTGTAAGAAATAAGATATTTTCCTTATAAATTACCCAGTTTTGGGTATTCAGTTATAAGCAACAAAAAACAAAGCCATTACTAAATACCAAGTATGTGAGACTAGATATTCCCCATTCCCATCCATATCTACTAAAGGGTTCTAATGGTACAAGATCTGTAGGCATATTGATCAGAGATAATTTTACTCCAAAAAAGATAAACATTGTGTAGTTATATGGCTAATAGCCAACCTGCTTTGAAGAAGTTCTTTGCAATAAATGGCAGAAAGTGAAGTTTGAGTTTTCTAATCCTTCCAAGTTACTGATAATTCTATTTTAGTATTTGGAGCCATTAATAGCCTTCTCTTTCAGTTTCCATAGAAGAGTCTTTAATTAAAAACACTTGTTTTCTTAGTGCCAGTCCAACATGATAAGGAATTAGGTCCTAGCCCTAACTAACCTATTGCCTCACACTCTAAACCACAGAAGCTCCATGTTTCTCTTTCTAGGTTTTCTGAAAGCTTCTCTTACAACCACCTGAATGGTAGAAATGGGGGAAACACTTCTTTCCCACCTATACCTACTTTATAGGATTGTTGTAAGAATTACATTTGCTGAGATACAGTATTAATCAGAGAGGAAATCTATAGGAGAAGAAGAGGCATCAAGTTTCGTTAGTAGAATAAAATGAGTTGTTGGTTCAGGTAAGAAGGAAATGGAATAGACTTTGTAGAGAAGCAGACAAAAAAAGGAAAAGGTATGCATTCTTGGTGTACAAGTGAAGACGCTAAGAACACAAGAGTCTGACCAAATGGAATCAGTCTCAGTAAAGCGTGCCCTGCACTTGAACCCCTCCTGACCACCCTACCATGGTCCCCACCTGACGGTACTCCCATTGCAATAAGAAAACCCTTATGCAGATGCAGAGGACAGAGAACAGAAATAGAGCTACACATGATCTATGTAACTCCTCCTTGCAGAAAAGTCTGAAAAGGATGTGGGGGAAGGATTTTTGAGGTATACAAAAGTAAAGTCACAAGGGAAAGAATTTGAATTATTTACAAAAAGGATAAAATTGAGCCTGCTTCATAGAGGAAACCAGGTGGAATGAAGCATCTTGAATTTTTTCCTCTCTCCAGCTCTGGGCCGTCAGGGCAAATTAATCATACACTTGCAAGTTTATGCCTCTCACCTGTATTGCTCATTATCACGAATGGGTTCACAGAGCCCTAGTGAGAAGAGACAAGTACTCACTTCCCTGGTTTGGGATCAGAACCTTCCTGGTAGTCCAGCCTCTCACACTTAGCAGGGGCTCAGAAAATTAAGGCTTTCTTTGTCCCCTGACTTGCTTCTACAAAGACAATCCTTTCCTCCTGCCCATCCCCAGAGATCGATCATATCCACTCTGATCACACAACTACTTCTACCAGCAGAATAATGTAACAGTATGATACTGGCTCTATAGCTCTAACCTTCTCTCCTGAATGCTAGCCCCCATTTCCAATTCATGCCAGAATAATCCATTGTCCTCATAAAATGCAATATGTTTAAAGCCAGTTCCTTATTTTTCTCCTAAAACTAGCTGCCCACTCCCCTGTGACTCAACATCTCTGGTCAGCCAGTTTTAAGATTTGAAGCATCTTTGACTTAGCCTCTGAAACACAGAGTCATCAAACCTGTAGCGATTTCTTCAAAATCATGCACATACTTGGTTGTCTCTCCATATCCATAGCTACCAACATAACTGAAGCCCTGGCACCATCTCAGTTCTTGCTTTTCCAGTAGAGGCTTAACCGATTCCTCTACCCCAACATTCCCCTCACTCCAAATGGTTTGCAACAGCACTGCCAGGTGGTTCTTCCTAAACCTCTGCTTGACACATCCCACCTGCCCACTTCCCTCTGTCATTTTGAGGTGTGGATGTCAGGATACTTGCCCCGGCCTTCAAAGTGCTGCTCACCCTGACCCCAGCCTTCCTCTCCACACTCCAAACCAGACCTCTAGTCTCTTACACACATCCTCCCTATATTAGTTTTCTATTGCTGTCGTAACAAGTTACCACATACTTAACAACTAAAAGCAACACAAATGTACCCTCTTACAGTTCTATAGGTCAGTAGTCCAGCACAATTCTCGCCAGGCTAAAATTGAAGTATCAGCAGGACTGTGCTCTTTTCTGGAGGCTCTAGGAGAGCCGGTTTCCTTACCTTTTTCCAGCTTCTAGAGGCCACTCACATTCTTTGGCTTGTGGCTCCTTCCACCATCCTCATAGCCAGCAACTTTGCCTCTCTCTGAGCGTTTTTCCGCAGCCACGTCTCCTCTGACTTTAAACTCAACGTCTCTGATTTCAATGCCCCACCCATGTGAGGCCCACCTGGATAATTCGCCCATGTGA